CAACACAGGCCCAGAGGGGGCGGGGCTTGGAAGGACCCAGTCAACCTCAGGGTTGGTGTCAGGGGAGGTGGGGATAGGGCAGGGGATTAGCAGGATGAACTTTTCAAACTCAGCCTTACCTGTTGGAAGAGACTGTGCCCACCTCAGGGATCCCTTAGGAGCTTCACTTACTGTCAGTCCTGTTGTAGGTACAGGGTTGACACCACACATCCAGGGATGCTTCCCCCTCTGACCGTGGGTGCTCAAGGCAGGGCCCTTGTGAGGTCCCCTGAGATCTGTGTGCCTGAGACAGTGATGAGCTCAGAGAAAGCCAGGCCATAGTCCTGGAGCCAGCACAGCATCATCCCCCAGCCCCATCCAGTGCTCACCAGATGAGGGACAGAGCAGGCCTGAACAAGGCCTGTCAATTTCAAAGTCACAGGCAGAAGGGCCAGGACAGGGCCAGCTGACCGTCCTCCCCCATCCAGGCAGGTCAGCACAAGGTTAAAGGGCATCCGGACAGCTTGGGGGTCTTTTTAACTGTCAACTCNCTAAAGGACATCAGGACAGCTTGGGAGTCTTTTTAACTGTCAACTCCTCATTGCACCTCAACACTCTTTTTTATTTTCAGAAATCAAATACAGAAAGGTCTTAACAGACTTCGAAAGATAGTGCCTGAAGGATCCACAAACATGCAAGAAGGACTTAAATTGGTACACACTGCAAGAACTCTATCTAGTCTGCTTGTCAAGTTTTCAGACGTTATTGGGGTCATCTCACTGCCTTCCCTCAACATTCCTTCATTTTGTTTCAGGCAGTTGAGCAGATGCAAAAAGAGCGATCTGGAGGTAAGCTGCCTGCCCATTTCATTGTTGTCATGTCCAGGGTAGAGCCAGGCAGGGCCTCAGTGAGGTCTGGATGCAGACCCACCTTGGTCACTTCCTAGACCTGGCACTGGAGCAAGTCACTTGCCCTCTGTGTGCTGCAGGCTCCTCCCCTGTGCAGTGAGGATTAAAACCACCCCAGGGAACTTTCTCAGAACTACATGGGATCATTCTGGGTTCTTATTAAATATGAGGTATGTGACCTACAGTCGGGCTGCATGAAAAGGGGAAAGAAAAGCCAGAGGACCTCGGACACACAGGACTCAGTTTACAGAAGAAAGCTGATTGCCCCTTGCTGCCCACACTTGTCTCTGCCACAGCTCTGGCTCTGACTCCTGTTCCATTCAGCTTCTTCCCTTTGGGTGACTCTTGTCCTGTGATGGTGTCTCCATCATGGCAAAGGCTGAGTTCAGCCCAGAACCATCTTTGTTTGGACTATAGGGTTGCAGCTGTGGTCAGGGAAGACATGTGGACCTGGTTGTGAATGGCATTGACTGGGCATAGGATCTGCTGCCCAAGTGCCTCTGACCTTAACTTCTTAAACTCTGGGCCCACAGGTGCCAGCAGGAGTGCCACAGGCACTGTCTGGAGGGGAAGCCCAACCTTCAACTCAGTGGGGTCTGGCTTCTCCTTCCTCTGCTCATCTGAAAGGGTTATGCTTGTCCACTGAAATAGCTCGAGTTACCTTTTAGGACAAAGGCTGCACCAGCTGGTGTCAGTGAGGGTTCAATAGGAAGAGACCTGAGCTGGACTCAGTCTCCCCATCTGTAAAGCGGATTTGGTCAAATGCCTCCTCTTCCTCCAGAGGCAGTAGCCAAGTCTTCCAGGAGCTCTGGATGGGATATGTTTTGGTGGAGGAGGTGAAGCGAGCAGTGCTGTGGCCCTGACTACCTGGCGCTGGTCACTCCAGGTACATGGAATGACCAGCCTATTCCCTGGTATTTCTTCAGGAAACAAGGATCCAATGATGATTATTGTTATAACTGGAGTAATAATGCAATACTGGGCGCACTTAGAGGCAAAGAGAGAGGTGGGTCCAGTCCACTGATACTAGTATTTTGCTCCAAGTATTTGGTGATTTTTACTCAAAACTGTCTTTATATAGGCTTCAAGGGCTCAGAAAATAGGGGCTATCATTTACGGCGTGGGTGTAAATGACGATAGTCGACAACAGGTAATTCCGAACAGGTAACCAGAAGCCCCCCCCAGAACATTTTGGGAACCATTCAAAGGCAGCTTTCCAAGGGTCACCCAGAGGATGGCCCTTTAACTCACTGCAAGTGTCTGGACAACAGATTGCCACGGCTGAAATGACTAGCAGTGTTGTGTAAAACCTACAACCAGAGGTGTGGGTGGAAGTGCTTTCCCCTCCTGAGGCTGGCCAACACCAGGGTCTGGCCCTGAGGGTCTAGCATGGCCTGAGGCCAAGTACTGTCTCCTGGGAGGGGGGACTGCTATTCCTCAACAACTGACTGTGGTTCATGCTGTCACCTCTCCATGTAGCTTTTGGAAATTGCAGACAGCAAGAATCACATATTTGCAGTGGACTCTGGATTCAAGGGTCTAGGAAAGATCGCAGATTCAGTGAGTTGTGCTGGGCAAGAGGTGAGGAGGGTCCCACCATGACCTTTCCACTCCCTTCCTGATCCACCTATCGCTCTATTGTAGCTGGCTAGTAGTTCCTGTATTGAAATTACAAGCATGGAGCCTTCAAGTTTATGTGCCGAAGGTAAGATATGAAGTTGCTGTTGTGAACACAGCAGAGTGTATTTGTGTGTTGTGAGTCTGTACTGTGCATGTGGTAGGGTGCTGTGAGCATGTGATTTCAATGTGTGTGGTATGTGTGATGGAGGTGAATGTGAGGTCTGTGGTTGTGTGTAGTGTGTCCGCACAGAGTGGTCTCAGTGTGTGTCATGTGTGTGGTGGGTGTGAATGTGGTGTCCATGGCTGTGTGATGTGTCTGCATGGAATGGTCTTAGTGTGTGTTGTGTGTGGTGGAGGCGAATGTGGTGTCTGTGGACCTGTTGTGTGTCTGCATGGGGTTGCAGTGTGGGAATGTGCACTGTGCAGGTAATGCTATGACTGTTGATTTGGGACAGGTTACAGAGTTGCTGCATAAGTACATGCATCTAATTACATTTCTACCAGTTGTATTGAGATATAACGGACAGAGAGCACTGTGGAATTAAGATGTCCCAGTTTAACGACTTGAAACTTATATTGTGATATGATTACAATAACAAATCTAGTGTAATTATCTTTTGGATCTCAAAGCCAAAAGTCTAGTGAACAACTGAGAAAAAACATTTTAGAAACCTCAACAAAAAGCTAGCAAATAGAATCCAACAATATATATAAAGGAAAATGCAACAAGACTAACAAGGGGGCACCCAGGAAATGCAAGTTTGATACTAGATTTGAAATATCAATGCAATTTAGCACATCAGCAAGACAGAGGGGAAAATCATGAATATCTCAGTGGAGAAGGGAATATTTGCACAATGTTCACCTTCCAGTGTCATGCTAGGACCCAGGCATACGCAAGGCATCCTTCCACACTAATACTCAGGGGAACATGACACCACGGTTAAATGGCAGTGCTCTCCCTGACATCTATCTGGAACTTAACAAAGATGCCTTCTCCTACCCCCCCCCCTACACCCGACCCAGGGTGCCTCCATCAGTGCACTGAGGGTCTCCTAGCGTTACCTCTCTGATAGGAGCCCTCCCTCTGTCACTAGCTCTGGATTTGCACTCTGGAGCACCCAAGTGCCTGGGCTCTGAGCCTCTGAGGTGAGGGATGACTGCACTCCCCCAGAGGTGACAGCACCCTACCAGATCCAACTGGATGCAGACCCAGGAAGCTGGCTCTGGCCTCTGTGCTCTCCAAGCTAGACTATAGTACAATAGGTCGTGGGGTCAGAGAGAACTGCTTGCATGTCTGAGCTCCTACCCTGGAGCAGGTGCTTCATCTGCAAGCTCCACTCCTGTGTCAAGAAGTGGAGAGAACAGTCTCCACCTTCAGATCTGTTGTTTGAAAAAGGCCTGTGGATTTTGCAGTGACTGGCACAGGATCTAGTAGCTGGCAGGCCCTGCACAGCAGTGGCAGACACTAATACTTCCACCAAGATCTCGGGCTCTCCCCACCCCATGCTGAGCCCAGGCTGGAGGGGAGGGTTAAAGAACTGCAGGATGAAGGTCTCTCCAGCTCCTGGTAGCAGCTGACTCCCTCTGTCTTCTGAACCTGGGACTTACAATATGAGGCATGGAGGTGGGTTACAGACTCCCTCCCACAAGTAGGTCTCTACCTGCTTCTCCTCTAAAGTGCCAGCTGAGCAGCCAGCCTGACTGCTTCATTTCCTGAATATGCCCCCTGGACACACACAGGCCATGGCTTTGAGCAGCCGTGAGACCTCAGATCAGGAGGCAATGGGACTTTCCTCCCCTGAGGCAACCAAGCTGAGGTGAACGGTGCCCCACACACTCCTTGAACCAGCCCAGCATGGCCCAGCATCTCTGCTGTGACCTACAGAGTTGCCATCTGTGAAAGCTGCCACAAGTGTGGCACTTAAAGGGAAACTCAAGGTGCAGGCTGGCTCTGGGACAAGCAGAGGCCTCTGCTGGCCTCCCTGCCTCCAGGTCTGAGCTCCAGAACCTCCTCCACTCAGGGTCCTGGGCACTGACAGGCTCCTGCCCTAAAGCAGCCTGGCACTGGACTCGGAGGCCTCCTAGCAGGACCCCTGGCCATCCAGGTTCCCCCCTCAGCTATAGGTCCCTCCTGCTGCAGAAGCTGGAAGTGGGGATGGGGCTCGAAGTCCCCAAGCCAGGCCTCAGCTTCCTGAGTCCAGTCCTCCCACTCTCTGAGGCCTTACCCATGGGCCCTGCCCCTGGAAACCTTTCCTGACAGGAAGGCACCTCTGGCTCCCTGGAGCACAGGGTCTGTCCCTCTCTCTAGTCACTTGGCCCCAGTATGCTCCATGGCTGCTGCTTGGCTGTGTCCAAGGCTTTGTTTTTCTCATTCAGTTTTCATCCATCCTCCAAACTGTTATCCTGGGAATGATCAAACCCACAACAAAGTGGAAACAATTTACAANAAACAATTTACAATGAACTGCCCTCTCTCATTCTCGATGAACATTGATATTGGCCACATGTTCTTTATTACTTATCTCTCCATATTCTGCTTCTCTTCATCAGTTCAGCTGAGCGTTTGATGTATTTCAAGGTGAATTATAGTCACCAGGCTAACTCACCCCAAATACTTCCACATATCATTAATTGCGGCCAGTGTGGGTAGAGTTCCATTCCTGAAACGCAGCAAAGTTAAGTGTATCATTGAATGCTTTGACACACACAAAAACGCCAGTGTAACCCAAACCCATGAAGAAATAGAACATTACCAATGCCTCAGAGAGTCTCCTCAGGCCCCTTGCCAGGCATCACCCCCCCACCTCCAGGGGACGTGGGGGTCAGCTACTCTTGTAATATTTTCCTTCCAGTGACTGTCTTGCTGTTTAAAATGTCTCCTCAGCTGACTCATGGGGTGTGAACCTCTGTCTGCCAGGTGCACTTGGAGGAGTGGTTTGGAGTTTGGTCCTTACAGTGGGTTTGCAGGGTGTGCTCAGGGCTTGACAGCCTGGGAGGAAGGCTGCAGGTGGCTCCTTGTCATTCTTTTTCCTGTATGTGACTGGCCCTGGGTGGGTGTCTGCAAAGTAGCCCGGTAGATGAGGAACATCAGTAATGGCCCCTCATAGGACACCGGACAGAAGAGGGCTTTCCTCTGAGATATGGTAGCAGGTCCCCAATCAAGGCTGGGAGACCCCTGGGTGGAGTGGCCCGGGCAGGCTGTGTTTTGCAGGAGGGACCTGAAGGACCAAGGCAGAAGCCACTGTGCCACACAAGGACACTCCTGCCACCAGCCTGGGTGGCTGCTGTCCGTTCACTGTGATCAAGTTCCCTCTTCGTCCCATCCTGCCCCCTTCAGAGATAACCATAAATAGTTGAGCATGCATACATGCATAGCCACCTCCATATACCCTACAAGGTAAATTTTACGTTTATGCGATCATGCCACACATAGTATTTCCCAGCTTTCTGCACAGTATTCCAGTCCATAAATGGACCTGGTTGATTNCTCCCAGTATTCCAGTCCATGGATGGACCTGGTTGATTTCATGAGTCTCCTTGTTGCCCTTCATGTGCCTTCATTGTCTCCTGTGGTTGTTACTGTGGGAAGAATTGGGGTTTGGGGTGCTGAGAACAGAAGGAACAGCTCTGTGAAAAAGCACAAATGCTTTAAGTCAAATCTCTTCTTTCAAAAAACTGATCCCTGGCACCCACTTAGTGAGACTTGCAGAGTTAACAGGACCCTCTTGGGAACTGCAGCACCTGGGGAACAGGGGGCTCTTCTCCAAGGTGAACTGGCACCTGAGCAGGCCATGAGGGATAGCGGGGAGCACAGGGGAGGAAGGAAGGGCATCTGGCCGGTGGCAGGGGCCATGGTTCCTGAGCAGTGTGGGCCCAGGTTGTGCTCTGGGCTGTCAGACGGCCCTCCCCTCAGCCACCACCTTCCCTCCCTGTCACACACATGGAGGAGAAGGCTGGGCCCATCCTTCCTTACAAGACCGTGAAGTGAAGACCACAGACCAGGTCTCCAGGTACCAGAGAGGGCTTGTCTCCAGCAGAAGTGGTCTGAATGGGTCCTGAAGATGGCACTTGAGGTCACACCTTGGCCCCGTACCTGCCAGGTGTCAGGGAAGCTACCCGCCTTCTCTAAGCCCCAGTGTGTCTCTGTAAAAGTGGGAGAGTAATGCATAGATTTGAGGTTGTTAGGAGCTTTAAGGGAGAAAATTTAAGAATGGTGCATAGTAGGTGCTCAGCTGGTGGGAATGTCACTCCATAGCGACCTAGGTGATCCATGCCTTGGTCTCATGCAGATGTCCCCCTTTATGCTTCCCTCTGGCATTGTGTGTGTCAGGATTACTACTCTGGCTCTTCCTCCCGTATTTTGTGCCTGATCTCTCCACCATCAGCAGAACTTTCCTTCTCAGACTATATCGAATTACAATATGGCTTACTAATGTAGGTCCTGCCTTGCAAATAAACACTTCTTTGCAATTAATAATCCAGAAATATAAATTGCAAATATGGTCTGGGAGAAGAAGGGCTAGCAGAGCTGCTCAGGGTGACCCATATTGGGCCAACAGAAGGGGCTGAGTAAGACAAGCACCTACTGGTTTTTACCAGCAAACACAGAGCCCCATGTTCTGAGGGGCAGGGCCCTTGTGGAGTGTGAGCCCTGAGTGTGAAGCCTGCCTGAGGCAGGCTCAGGAGCAGCCTGTGCTGGGTCCACCATGCAGGGAGCAGACACATCACTCGGGGACATCAAGCCTGCCCTGGATGGCCACACGTCTGGTTCTCAGCACAGGGCCATCAGCTGGCCTTTCCAGCTTCCTTCCAAACCACCAGGGCTCTCCCTAGCTTCAAGNGTCCCTTCGAAACTACCAGGGCTCTCCCAGGCTTCAAGGTGGCACAGGCTTTTTCCAGGTCACAGTAACTGCCATCAGGTGCTCTCGGGCTCCGGGGTCCAGGCAGGAACAATGAATGATCAATAGGTGTGAGCCCTGCCAAACCAAGGAGATGGGCTGCAGGGTGAGGCTCCTAGAGAACCAGGCTCTGGGCAGGGGAGCTGCACCTCAAGGAGGCCTGGCCATTCACACTAGAGGTTAACAGGCCAAAATAAATCCAATGATGACAGATGATCCCATTTTCCAAAATACCTAGAAACCTGGATTATTAGGGAANTTCCTGCTTTCCAAAACAGCTAGAAACCTGGATTATTAGGGAAATGTGCACATTTTCAACATGAAGTCCCTTCTTTTTAAACTCTTGAAAGCCTAACATGTCAGAAGACAAGCTTCAGCCACAGCCCAAGGGCCTATTTTCTCTGAGGCAGAGGACTGGCAAGCATTGCATGGATGGAGTGCTTGCCACAGGAGGCCTGAAGCACAAGGAATGAGAATGCCAGGCCGAGGCTGTACTGGAATTTCTGAGGAAGAGTTCTTCCAATAAACTGGCTGGGAATAAACCGCCTGACCCGGGCAGCAGGCCTGGATGCCAGGGGCCTGGGCCTACAGCAGGAAGACCTGATGTTTCTCCTGCCTCCCCAGGGGCAGGGCCTACTGTTTGTCCTCTCTGTATCTCTGGTACTTACTGCAGCAATGGCCAAGGACCCAGCATCCTGGGGAAGGGTTACGATCCTGATCTGCACCTCAGTACCCCCATGTCTCCACACTGGCAGGAGGAAGGCCTAGGTGACTCGTGTGGATGGGTGCTGTCCATGGAGGGTCAGGAAGAGGCAGAGGAAGAGCAGTCATCTGCAGACTCTGGAACCTCAGCTAAGACAGGACTTCTCCTTCCATGGTGGAGTCTCCTGTGCAGGGTCCTCAGCCTCTTCCTGCCTCACCCAACTGCAGACCCTGCTCCTGGGGTCTCCAGGCTGCCACAGGCACACAGAAGGACAGGGAGGAGGAAGAGACCCCCCGAGTGTCAGAAATTCCCTGGGGCACTGGGGCTTGGGTGCTCAGCTTAGGCAAGAGGAGGCAGGGGTGTCTTCAAGGTGCATTGACTTCACTCTCATTTATGTAAGTGGGGCCAGGGGCCATTTACATCCCTTAGGGGAACCAGAACACTGGGTCAGAAACCCAAGGTGGGGTTTGTCCTGTGGAGGGGATGAGGCTGGCTATGTTTCATGTGCTCCATGGTCAGGGGCTGAAAAGATCCCTGAGTGCTCCAGGCCCATCCCAGCCTCCTCACAGGAGACCCTCGGGGACTCCAGGAGGGAATCTGGCCAAGGGGGTGCACTGGTGTGTTCAGAAAGAGAATTCCCTTTAGGGGTCCCCTGGGATTTCAGTTTTGGAGGTGGCCTGCCCTAACTGTGAGATCAGAGGGAAGACAGCACTCAGCCCTTCTCACACAGACCTTTGCATGTTGCCTTTGCAGAAAACTATGAGGTGATGGTTTTTGGAAGAGGCTTTAATAATGCAAAGAACAAGAACCAAGTTATTTGCAGATTCAAGTTTAGCAAAAACAAATTTTTCCGTAAGTAGCACCCTCGGGTCCTCCAGTTACAAATGCCCCCACCACTGCATCGGCCTCAGCCAGCCAAGCCCTCCAAGCCCTTGCTGACCATTTGCTGGGGATGCTGTGGGGACAGAGGCAGCTTGGACAAGTGGAGAGAGAGCCTGGCTGGGAAGCCTGGCACCTCCCCTTTCATGTGCCAGGGGAGATAATCATCCCCAGCACCACAGCAGCCTCTTGGAGCAGGGCTTTGCTCCTGCCGAGGATGGGTTTGGATTCTGGGTCTGTCCTCACAGGGGCCTTTCCACACCCCCTCCTCAGCTTCTGGTTTCCTTCAGAGAAGAGTTATAAATCCCATTAGGGTGCTGGTGGGAAGGGAGGCAACTCCGGGAACCTGAGTCTGTGCCAAATGCACTGGTAGCTCTCCCAGCAATGTGTACTCACATTGGATTGACAGAAGATGCCGTCTGCTAGGCCTGGGCCCTGCAGTTTGGCACAGTCACACATCACATGTGTGCCTTTGACCAAATGAGTGCTCTGTTCTCAGCCTCTCCTTTCTCTTCTGTAAAATGGGGCCAATATGAGAGTTGTTCTAACTAAGCTTTATAACATATGTAGAACAGTAATGGCTGAAGGGCTTCATTTCAAGATGAAATCGCAAACTAATGAAAACACTCAGGCATGAGGTGGCCCTCCGTGGGAGCACTGAGGTGGGAGTGTGCTTCCCCACAGAGCGCGGGGTGCAGCGGACTCTGCATCGTCCCTCCTCCCAGTTAGCCCATCAGCACGTTCATCTGATACAACTGCATTAAGATAAGAGGGGGGTCTTACTCCCANGATTACACTAACATCAGCGGGATCTTATTCCTGGGCCATCTGGTATACCCAGCACAACTCCTCTCCCCGCACACTTCTAGGCCATGTCTCCTTCCTTCCACCATATACAGAATGGGCCTGGGGACCCTGACTGCCTCATTCCTCTCCACACAGGGTGTAATTATGTATCCATAATTATAGAAATTATGTTCAGATAGTCTTTAGGCAGTTCTCAGTGATCCATTTGCATTCTTACATGATTTTCTTTCAGATACAAAAGCCACACCTGTGAATGATACCAACTTAATGTGCCCAGGAATAAAGATGGAGCATCCAGGCCAGTAAGTGACCAGTCTGGGGTTCCATAGGCAGTTGTTATCACCATGAGGTATTCAGAATAGGAGATACCACCTCCGCTGTGACTACACCTCTTTTTCTAAGAGGGCTCTGGGCATCCTCTGCAACCACCTTTGTTGGAGGTTCCCCAAGGTGCTCAGGGATCTGCTGAGGAAAGTAGGAATGCAGGAGATGATGTGTCCAAAGGACGGTGCCTTTCTCCCTAGAAACATTTTGCAGCTAAGACATGAATGGGGCTTAGTCTATGAATACAGAAGAGTGTAGGTGTTGAAACCAATCAGCTATCCCTGGTCACTTAATCTGAGGCCACAAAGACATCTGGCCCCATCTGGT